GAATTAGATTTGAAGTGTTTTCTTACTAATGATTAGCATTATTATCAATGTATTTAATACTCTTTTGGATTTTATGGGTATTTGTGGGTTGATAATCTTAATTAATTTATTTGCTAATAGGTTAATGTACTTATTACTGGGACTCTTGGGTAAAAATATTTGCATACAAAGGGGTGTTGGTTTTAATTTCATGTCTTTATGACATGATTGGATATTATGTTAATTGAATCTTAATTTATTCATGGTGAGATGTATAAATTGGATCTCCCTGACTCTGCACGTACACCCTCCATGAAAAAGTCCCAGTGACGAAACGCGTAGGAATTGATACGTGCTGTGTTCCTTTCGTCTGAGGCTAGTTTTATGGTGGACGCTCGATCAGCCTGCTGATGTTTTTATACTTACTTGAAAGTTACTACATTTTAATAAATATTTTTTATCTTGATATACTACACTATTGTATCCCTTTTCCCTTTGTGGGGTGGATCGTTTTATCGAGTGGGGGAGCTCCTTGGATTTTGTTTGGTGTTTGAGGGGAGAGATGATTACCGACATCTAAAGTGACAGCTGGAGGATCGTTATTGAAGGTGAGCACGCTCACAAATGCGCAGTATGACCATTTGAATGCATGGTCTGAAACTTCTGGTGAGTGTTTCTACTCTCTCATTATATATTGGAGGAGATCGATCATTGAAGGAAGATACTGCGTGATTTTCTTAGAGGCATTAGTTCCCAAATCGCAGTATATCATACAGATTTATATGAACATTAATCTGCATTTGAGCACTGTTTGATATTGATGTATATAAACACTTATGCACTGTTAGATGTATTGGACACTTATTAAGTCTCATAAGAGACTTACACTGTGAACTTTATCACTTTGGATTTAAATCATTTATTGGAGGTTGATTATATTTGTTTTCAGCATTTAGACATACTTTTTGTTTGATATATTGTTAAGAGAGGTTCAGCGCGGTGCATTGTTTTTAGAAGGAAATTATCTTTCCCTGAGATCTTGTGAAATTACAGATTATTTTTCCCAGTGATGCACTGTGATGTAACCTTTCGAGGAAGCAACACTTAGGAGGGTATTCACAAAGCTGCCGAAGGCTGTCAAAGTGAAGTAAGCTGAAGTAAGCTATTCACTCAGGTTCAGTGCGGCTGAGCATGTTTGGCCGACCCGAGGCCAGCCGAAGCAAGCCGATGTACGGCTGATTTCAGCCAATGTACAGCTTTAGGTCTGGTAGGAATGTTAGGAGGGACCAATTTTTTTTTTTTTTTAAAGCGTAGGGTTCCCCCTGAAAGTTATACCAGACCCTTAAGGTCTGTTAGGAATATTTAGGAGGGACCCCGTATACAAAAAAAGTGTGTGGTGTTCCCCCTAAAGTCATACCAGGCCCTTAAGGTCTGCTAAGAATTTTAAGGAGGAACCCCACCCCCAAAAATTCCATACCAGACCCTTGATCCGGGCATAGGCCTAGCAGGGCCGGAAAGGGGGGGACGAGCGAGCGCCAGGCCACATGCCTTTGGCACTGGGAGGGTGCTTTTCCAGGGTCGCCCCTGGAAAAGCACCTTGTCCCCGTGCCGATGGGGACAAGGGCCATGTCCCCACAACCCTGACCCGGTGGTTGTGAGGGTCTGCAGGCAAGGGGACTTATTTAGATTGGGGTACCCCTTTCATTAAGGGGGCACCCAGATGCCGCCCCCCTCCCTTGTGAATAAGTAAGGTGTACTTGTAGCCCTGCCCATTCATTAAAGGGTTAAATAAAATAGTTATTAAAAAGTCCAGACTTTTGATAAAATCCTTTATTTGGAAAAAATAAACTTGTTTTTGACAAGTCTTTTATTAAAAAAAAAAACCTAAATGGATCGACCAACGTAATCCAGGGTCAATCACGACATCCAGCGTTGTCCACGACGTCGATGAAATAAAAAATAAAACAATAAAAAATAAATAGAAATAATTAAATAAAACGCTGGCTGCCGTCCTGCCCTCTCCCAGCCGACTCCCGCTGCATAATTGCATTTTGACAGATGCCGGCAAAACATAAACAATTGGGCGGAGCTAGCAGTGACAGCTAGCTCCCCCCAATTGTGTAATTTGCCATCATCTGATAGGCGAGACATGGTTGGGCAGAGTCATCATAACTTTGCCCAATCATGGCTCCAAATGAGTACTGAGCCCTGATTGGGCAAAGTCTTGCACCTAAACCTGTGGTTAGGTGCAAGACTTCAACCAATTAGAGCCTCGTAGGGCGCTTTGCCTAATGGGACGTTGCGCGGTCGAATAGACCGCGAACATCCCATAAAGTTCGGCGAACGCTCGAAAAGCCGATGTTCGTTTTGAACTCGTGGTCGAATCGATCTGGCGGACCATCCCTAATGTAGATCACTTCCCATTCATTCATAATTGGGGACACAGTAAACATGTCCTCAATTATTTACAAACATTTAGAGGGTTATTCACAAAGCGGCTGAAGGCAGCCGAGTGAATAACCCAGCCGAAGTGAAGTGAGCCGAACTCTGTTCAGCTATTCACTTCTGGCTTGTACGGCTGATTTCAGCTGTACATTGGCTGCCTTCGTCTGCACTTCAGTCCCTATTCTCATTCTGCTTGGTACCTGCTTGAAAAAAATATTTTTAAAATGTAATTAAATAGTTAAATAAAAAATAAATAAAGATGAAAAAAATAATAATAATAATAAATTAAAAAAACAATTGGGCGGAGCTAGCATTAACAGCTTGCTCCGCCCAGCTGTTTCCTTTTGGCCGGCACTGCTCTGCATGTTCGGCTGACCGAAGTGCAGACGAAGGCAGCCAATGTACAGCTGAAATCAGCCGTACAAGCCAGAAGTGAATAGCTGAACAGAGTTCGGCTTTTGGCCGGCAACTGCCAGAGTCTTCTAGCAGGTCCCGGCCAATGAATAACAACTGGGTGGGGCAGGCCATGACGTCACAGCCGACTCCACCCAGTTGTTATTGTTTAATGACAGGTCATTTGGGGACGCTAATCTGTCATTACAGGACGAAAGGCCAACCTTCAGCAGGCCCTTCGCCCCGCTTTGGCTGACATTTCCCCTCACTAGAGCCGAAGCATATCCCTTCGGCTCGACCAACTTCGGGAACTGTACGGGCTAATGTGAATAGCCCGTACAGCAGCCGTTCAGTTCAACTGCACCGAAGGGGTTCGGCAGCCGAAGAAAGCCAAAGGATCAGCCGAAGCTACGGCTGGATCCTTTGGCTCCTTTGTGAATGCCCCCCGTAGACACTGGCTGCATCACTAATGCCCAAGAGGACCCAGAAGTGGAAAAAACATAATTGTAAGTAAAAAGAAAAATGTGTTTGTTTAACTAATGAATGTAAGATGATTTCATATCAGCATGCAGAGCTAAATGCTGATATGATTTTTTTAGTGAAAGGTGGTAATGGTCCACTTTAATAACATAGACATTAAATAGGGTAAAATTGCTGTTTTTGAAACAAAAATTACTTTCATGGCAAATTTTTCTGTTCAGTGTATTTGTGAATTACTTTTCTCGGTTTTAATTAAGGTTTTGAGGTTGGAAATCAATGCATTTTGATGTCCCTGTTATTCAATTTTTTTTCTTGTGTTGAGTAATCTCTATTAATGAAAGTTAAGTAAAGTCAAAGCAATACTGAAGGGGGATATTTTCACAGAAAAAAAGATAGTGAACTTTTTTAAAGGAAAATCTTCACAAATAAATATAAGCAAACTCTATAATAATTCCCTATTAAGGCTACTTATAATTCCAATTGTGTCTTTGTAATAATACAGGGATATTTAGTAAATTATAAGTATCATTAAACTTTCATAAATTATTAATAATTATTGGTGTAATATTTAATGCCGTTTCAGCATCAAAAAGTAAGCTGCTTTATTGATCTTTCTTGTCGCAGAACCTTTTTTTTTTTAAACCCGTATAATACCCATAAGTAAAAACATCTAAAAATCATGATTTTTTTTATGCTGAAATAAAGTCTGCAGCATAGAATTTGCTATTTTTTCTCTTTTCCATTATGCTGCAGAGTGAAATTGCTGGGAATTGTCTACAGCATAAAAAATAAGGGTGAAAATGAACAGATGAACAGAATAACAGCAGACTCTAGCAAACATGAGTGAATCGGTCGCAAAATCTTCGAACAAACAGAGCCGGCAGCCAGTGGCAGCCGGGCCGTTGGCCACTGTCAAAATACAAAAGGAACAGCAGGGATTCCTCGATCAATGCACTCCTAGCATTGATGGAAAAAAATCTGCTCTATTTTTCTAATGGGAAAAATAGAGCAGTGTATTGCCAGCCTAACTCTTCAGCTGTAGTACTTAAGGAGCTGAAGCTCTGCCCGATTGTCCATAACCCCATCGGTGCTACTTTTACCCCATCCGTACACTGCTACTTTTTGCTCATTCATTCTATTATAAATGTTAGGGAAATAATAAGATGAAACATATTGCTTTAGACTATTCACAAGGGTGGGAACCTTGATGCTAAGTAGAATGTAATCAAGTGCTCCCCTATGGAAAAAAAATGTGTTTTCTACTTTTCCTTATGCTCACTTAGCAAAGCGAATGTTGATTTTGCAAAATGTGTGTTCACTTAGCTTAGTACATGAGGTGTAGCTATAATTGTTTTGAATATCCAATCATGTGCAAGGGAAATTTAAAACAACAGGGTGTTTGCTTCAACATGATTATATGATTAAATTAATCACAGCCTCACCCCATTCACAAAGCTAAGTGACCATACACTTTACAATGTAAACATGCTCTATTTCTTTAGTAAATCAACTACAAAATGTCTCCTACTGGCAGCCAGATATTACCAGGCACTTCAAAGCTACAGTAAATGGTTTCTCTATATAAATGTTTGTGCATCAAGAGGGTACAAAATTATATATATATTACAGTCATGAATATCTTTAATGATATCTATTTGTTTGAACATTTACTTTTCAACACATTTTTTTTGTACACCACATAGGGCTTCTTCAAGAGGACAGTCCAAAATAACAAGCGATACACCTGCACAGAGAACCAGACCTGTAAAATAGACAAAACACAAAGGAAAAGGTGTCCGTACTGTCGTTTCCAAAAGTGTCTGAATGTAGGAATGAGGTTGGAAGGTAACAAGATTTTTACAATTTATAAAATTTTGCATACATTGTCATTTTTATTATTATCGTTTATTATTCCGGGACTATAAATCTAGTGGTCTTTAATTTTAATGCCATTTTCTAGTAGTTTGTGTATAATATTGTAATATTGGAGTAGGACATTTACAAATTGGTGACACATTGTACAGGTAGTACTGTATGTGTTCACTACCATTCCTAGATCAGGTTACAATAAAGTTTAAAAAGAAAGTCACCTCTCTCTCTCTTAAGGGGCCCAGTCCATTCAAAAGTGATATTTTGGTCATAGGCTTTGTCTTGAATTTGCCAACAACAAAACTTCAAAGTCATAGTCCTGTCTTCCTGGGGGTTTTGGGTGTTCACATTGACTTTTGCATGTACTTACTGCTGCAACCTTAGCCCAGTGGTTGTGGGAGTCTGCGGGCAGGGGAGCTTATCTTAATCTTTGTGCCCCTTTATTAATAAATAAAAACACCAGACAGTTTTGACAAGTCCTTTATTAATAAACCCCCCCCCCCCCCAAAAAAACAGATGCCCCATAAGGGCATCCACCCACACA